GGATCACACATCTTAGCTACTTGAATATATTCCTATTTCTCACCATCTTACATCAACCAATTAATAGTGCCGCGTAAGCACAATTTAAGACATTTGGAAATTAACAGAAAGTAAGAATGTTATGCTGTATTATAAATCAATAAAAGTTTTGTTCCATTTTATTCACTCGTACATCCCAACCCCAAGTTAACCCAAGGTATGTCAGGACTACGAGCCAGACCCAGAAATAAAACATCAGGCAGTGTAGCCTGAGACCAAGGGAGGGGTCAAGCGTGTCGTCAGCCTTGAGTCCCTTCGCACCCACAAGAGATCTTAAGTCCAGCCCACCTAGAATTCCGTTGACTCTTATCTACCGCCCATTTGCTTTGACCCTTTTACTTAGCCATATAAATTCGGGGCTCAATTGTGGTCGTAACTTGAGGACTACCTGTATCATTGGGCTACTGTTGATACCTCAACCTAACCTGAGAGCGGTTCCGTGGAGGGGTCCGAAAGCACCTCATGGAAATATTATTAAGATAGAATAGAGCAGGGCTTTTCAACCAGTGGGACGGGTACCACCTGTGGTACATTGGCACCTGGCAGGTGGGACGCGACCCTCCTAGAAAAGGGGTAGCAGGGGAGGGGAATGAGCTGAACCGGTGGCAGCACTGCACAAGCCTGAGCGAGAGACGGCTGGAGCTGTAGGGCTGTCAGGGCTGTGCGGAAGCGCCAGGATCAGCACCAGGCTCCAGCTGGAGCTCGGCGCTGATCCTGGTGCTTCTGCTGAGCCCTTAAGAAGCACCAATCAGCTGGAAAACAGCACTGATCCTGGCGCTTCCGCTGAGCCCAGAAGAAGCGCCGATCAGCTGGAATGTTGCAGCCTCTCCAGGGTCTTGTGATTTACATTCAGATGCTTGGCAACTGATTCATATTTATGACGGTCACAGTGTCCCAGGGTCATGTGAAGGGACCAAAACCTGCTGCAACCACCCAGCAGACGGGGGGGGGGGGAAATAAAAATCAAACACCCCCCACCCCCGCTGCCAATCCTCAACAGAAATGCTCACAACAATGAAAACCTCGGACAGGAGGAAGAGCGCGGCCGGGTGGGCAGGCAGGTGTCTTGCTCGGCTGTGGCTTGGGGGACACTTTTTTCAGTGCCATTGTAACTTCGAACAGTCACTAAGCGAACTGTTGTAAGTCGAGGACTACCTGTACTTTTATCACTTTTTCCCTTTTTTTTTTGGTCATCAAGTTTTTGACACCTTGCTAGGCGACTGGTGGTCCTCGGATGTTGCCATATCCTAAGAGTGGTACAATGGGTGAAAAGGTTGAAAAGCCCTGATCTAGTTAACTCGTTGAACCGTTTTCCCAGTTGCAACATATGGCTGTGAAAGTTGGACCATAAGAAAGGCTGAGGGGCAAAGAATGGAGGCCTTTGAACTACGGTACTGGAGAAGACTCCTGCGAGTCCCCTGGACGGCAAGGCGATCCAACCGGTCAGTCCTGGAGGAGATCAACTCCGACTGCTCTTTAGAAGGCCAGATCCTGAAGTGGAAACTCAAGGACTTTGGCCACCTAATGAGAAGGAAGGACTCACTGGAGAAGAGCCTAATGTTGGGAAAGATGGAGGGCAAGAGAAGAAGAAGGAGACGACAGAGAAGGAGGTGGCTGGATGGAGTCCCTGAAGCAGGAGGCGTGAACTTCAATGGACTCCAGAAGATGGTGGAGGACAGGAAGGCCTGGAGGGACGTTGTCCATGGGGTCGTGATGGGTCGGACACGACTTCGCAACTAACAACAATTGAATTCCATGCACATCCCCCCCCCTTCCCAGCATCATCTAACTCTAGAAAAGAAAAAAACAGCCGCATCTCCATCTGTTGTCAAAGCAAAAACATCCGGTGTTCGCAGCGTTGACACTTGGAAGCAGAGGACACCGTGGAAAATAAAGTTTCTGAATCATCTAGAGAGGTTATGCTCCCCTCTCACCCAGTGCAGAGTGCAAGGCAATGTCTGATGACATGGCAAGGTGACAAAAGGGCCTGACTCACGCTTCCTGATCCAGGAAGGACGGCAACGGGCAAACCACTTGCGGTAGATAATGACACCCTTTTGTCCCTGGCACTCCCTGGCAGGAGATCAGGCAGATTCCCCAAATCGCTGACTGGCACCCTTCTCGGAACAATCTCTGAAAAGCGACGTGTGTGTCCTGCAGGGATTTTACTCGGAGCTGGCGTGGAGCCACTGTCACAATTTTGACAACATTTCCTGCTCAACCTGGGGTGTACGCCAGTACAGCTCTTGACTTACAAACGGCTCCCTTAGTTGACCGTTCAAAGTTACGACGGCCCTGGAAAAAAAGGGACTCAGGACTGATTTCCACACTTACGGCCGCTTCAGTCTTCCCGTGGCCCGCGCGATCAAAATCCAGACGGTTCATAGTTATGACGGTCGCAGAGTCCCGGGGTCACCTGATCCGCTTTTGCGAACTTCCCACAAGCAAAGTCAACGGGGGGAAGCCAGACCCGCTTAACAACCAGGTTACTAACAAAGCCGATGGTTCACTTACCAACTGGGGCAAAAAAAAAAAAAGTCGTCAGATTAACAAATGTTTCACACGGCCGTAAAGTTTGGGCTCCGTTGCTGTCGTAACTCGAGGACTACTTGGGCTACTGTTGATTCCTCATACCTGACAGCAATCTGGACTTCCACGGAGGGGTCGTA